TGATTAAAACACTGTTTTAAATGTATTGTTAATTATTTCAACATTTTTTACATTTTATAGCGTTTTCTGTGATTTTCATACGAATTGTTATATTATTTACAATTCATTGAATCAAACATTTAATTGTATTTTAATATCTATTAATAGTTTTGATGAAACATGTGTTCAAATTAAATGTCAAATATTTAATAGTTTTCTACAAAAATTGCCATAAATTGAGTGATTGTTCAGACAATGTCTGGTAATTGAATGGTCGCCGAGTGTTGGAAGCGCTGGAAGTGATGAAAGACTGGCGTAAAGCCGTTCATAAGACTCCCATCTCATACACTGTCACTAATAATACGCTAAGACTTCAGACACAGTTCGTGACCGTTGTCTCCATCGCCGGTATTGTCGTACTCTTCATCTTGTATTCATTGGTACCCAGAAGTCGGGTCTCCACTCTTCACGACCCCATTCGCGACAAGCATTTAGACGATGATCACCAACACATCCATCACCACAAAGACTGTGTCACTCGCACCCCATATAACACCACTTATCCACTCTCGAGACCGGAATATCTATCGGACGAGAAGATCCGATTCCGGATCGCTGTCATCACCGATTTGGACACCGATTCTCGACAGCCGTCTGACGGACACCACGACTCGTGGATCAGTTATTTACTCAAAGGATATCTCACGTATTATCCCAACGAAGACTACATACAAGTGAAATGGGATAAGAGATCGGTTGGTCTGCACACGACTCTGGCCGCTGAGGGACGAGCCCTGGAGTTGTCGGAACTGATTGTTTTCAACGGCAAACTCTATTCATGCGATGACAGGACAGGCATTGTGTACGAAATGAGAGACAATATAGCGATTCCGTGGGTTATACTCAACGACGGCGACGGCAATAATGGACAACATTTTAAGTGCGAATGGCTTTCAGTGAAAGACCAAACACTATATGTGGGCGGACTCGGGAAGGAGTGGACGTCGATTACCGGCGATCCCATCAATAATAATCCGCAATGGATTAAGACTGTGTCGCCCACCGGCGAAGTGGTCCACCAGAACTGGAGAGACAATTATCTGGCGCTGAGGTCTTCGTGCGGAATCCAGTTTCCCGGTTATGTGATACACGAGTCGGCCGTTTGGAGTGATGTCCACCAGAAGTGGTATTTCCTTCCGCGAAGAGTCTCGTCGACCAAATACGACGAGAAAGAAGACGAGAGAAAGGGATCTAATATTATGCTAATCTCTAACAAAGACTTCAAAGACGTTCAGATGAGAACTGTTGGACCAGTTCTGCCAACTCATGGCTTCTCTTCGTTTAAATTCGTTCCCAACACTAAAGACAGAGTAATCGTTGCGCTCAAGTCTGAAGAGGACAGCGGAGTGATCAAGACATACATCACTGGCTTCACTGTCGACGGAAAGGTCTTACTATCGGAACAATTAATAGGAAATTATAAATACGAAGGAATTGAGTTTATTTGAGACACTTTTTGTATAACTAGTCGTTAATAAAATTGATTTTATATACAATTTATACATATTTTTAGCGAATATTTAATTTATTAAAACTTCACACTTCGTGTCTTCGCTCTCCTCCTCTTTACTCTCCTTATCTTCACTCTTCTTGTCCTCAATCTTCTTGTCTTCACTCTTCATGTCTTCACTCTTCTTGTCTTCACTCTTCTTGTCTTCACTCTTCATGTCCTCAATCTTCTTGTCTTCACTCTTATTGTGAACACATTTTTTGGAAAATTCAATTAAATTGTATTTACAATAAGTGTTGTAATCATTTAAAAACGATAGACAACACATCTTCTGGAGTACATCTAAACTGATGGTCAGTTTGGGCTCATCGAAGTCGACCCTCCAATCGGGTCTCACTCTCTTCACAACAGTTACCACTTTCTCAATGGTTTCCATTCTTTTAATGTCGTTATTATTCCTGACTTTGCATTGAATGACAAAACTAATCGATTCTTTCGTCTGTTTCTCTAATTGTGTTTCAATTATTTCATCAAAATTATTACAATTTATCTTAAATGTCACCGCAATTGGTATGAGTCTCAGCAGATGTCGAGTCAATTGTTTGCCATTCGTCGAGATCTCCTTAAGTATGGCCGAAGACATGGCCACCGGATCCACACACGTATCGTTGCATTTGATGAATAAAACATTTCTGCAATTCGTGATCATCTGTTGGAAGCGCTTCTCGCGAGTGGTCATCGACGAGATCTCCATTTGTATGGCTTTCTCCACATCCATGTCCGCCAACTTGTCGTCACTCTTGGTGTCCGCCATCTGTTGTCCGTACAGTTTGTCCGCGAATTCATTCAACAAATTATACGACTCTCGAAGACATTCATACTCTTTGACATTACAAGTGACCAGAAATCCGGACACACTTTCGGCGAGAACTCCTTTATTCACTTTCCATCTCTTCTTCCCGTCGTTTTGTTTGTACGCATTCTTCCGCTTCTTTGGATCGCAAGACAACTCTTTGCGCGAATCCATCGCTTCTTGTCGTCAATGAGAGATCAGTTTGTGGTCGACAGCAACACGTGGTCTAACTCTTGAGGTATAACTCTTTTATTAGCCGTTTATTAAATGAAAGCATGAAATGAATGGTCACTTCAATACAAAAGTGTGCGTAAAGTATACGTGACTTAATGTGCGGTTAAATGACATTTAAATCACGTGTTGTGTTGTATTGAATGCGAAAAATGTGGTGAAAATCGTAATGAAAACACTAAAAGTGTCACAAAATGCACTCAATTATAGGTAAGGTTTGGGCCTTTTTATGAACACAAACTCGTTATACATGTATATAATGTGTTTGCAATGGGTTTGTAATGTGTGTTGTGTTACGTCTACTCATGCAATGCCCAAACATATGAGTCATTCATTTGTTTTTGTCCACAAATTCAGTACTCATTCACTGTTTGAATCACTCAATGACTGAATGACTGAATGAGTGCTCAACCCATCAGACACTCAATTGTCACACTATTGTGCCATTTGTTGTCATCCTTAACACCACTTAACACTACTATGTCTTCACTCAACGCATCTCACACTTGTTGACCAATCGATCCTCGATTATCACCACTACTTCTTCCGCACCACTACTTGGGATTCAGCCACCGATTTGTTGCCAAACTCTATATTAAATCTTCTACTCATCACTATTGCAGAAGCCATGTCTGCGGGTATGTCATCCACGGCTAGAGCTCTCTCTCTCCCTCTCTCTCTCCCTCTCTCTCTCTCCCACTCTCCCGCTCACTGTTGCTGTTGTTGTGGTTAAATCTGACTGAATTGTGTGTGTCTTAAGGCAAGTCTCGACGTCCGCCCAAATTCAATATGACAGCGGAAGCGCCTCCACAGCCGCCGTCCACTCCCGAGAATTTGGACAAAAAGACGACAATACAGATCGGAGGCCAGACTATTGACATCGAGGCCGACAACTTGGAGACAATGGTCGAGTTGGGTCGCGGAGCCTATGGTATCGTCGAGAGAGTCAAACACAAGACTACGGGATTTGAAATGGCAGTGAAAGTAGGCGTACATTTGTTTTGTTAATTATCAGCGTTTAATTGGGTATCTTTGACAGAGGATTAGCGCTAATATAGTTCAGGAACAGAAGCGACTGCTAATGGATATGAATGTTTTGGTCAACTCTTCCGGATGTCCTAACATTGTGTTAGTAATGAAATCGCATTTAGTTGTGACTCTAATTAACGACATATAATTGATAACTGCAGCAAATTCTATGGCGCGATCTTCTGGGAGGGCGACCTCTGGCTCTTTATGGAGATAATGGACTCCTCTTTGGATAAGTTCTACCGAAAGGCTCACTCGAGTGCAGAGAATGGCATTCCAGAGGACATATTGGGCACAATTGGCTCTTGTATTGTAAAAGCGCTGAAATATCTGCACGAAATCAAAATCATCCACAGAGACGTGAAGCCGTCCAACGCACTCATCAACCGTAACGGAGTGGTCAAGTTGTGTGACTTCGGCATATCTGGCCATTTAGTCAATTCTATCGCTCAAACATTCGACGCCGGATGCAAACCATATATGGCTCCCGAAAGGATTAATCCCGACCCCAATCGCAAGGGTTATGACATTCGCTCCGATGTCTGGAGTTTAGGTTTGAATCGCAAAATACAAACCCAATTAAGAGATGAAATGAGCGCTAATTGAATGTGTCTTTGATTAGGTATTTCAATGCTAGAGTTAGCGATCGGCAAATTCCCATTTCCCGACTCCAAGAATCTGTTTGAACAGCTGAAGCGCATCTGTCAGGACGACCCGCCAACGCTTCCCGCCGGACAGTTCTCTAAAGACTTCGAGGATTTCATGGATAAATGGTATCAATCTATTGATTGTGTCGTGTGTTTGAAAGCACTTATCAATTGATTTGGTTTTTTGCAGTCTTCAGCGAGACTATCAAAAGAGACCCAATTATGCGGGTCTTCTCACGCATCCATTCATCACACAAAACGAAACAAACGATATCTCCGTATTTGTGACCAAAATATTAGACTCGACTTAAGATATTAAGCAATGAAAAGATAATTAATGTGCAAAATATGGCGCGAAATACTATACAAATTGATTGTGCCTTTAAATTACATCCGTTTTTATGTGTTTTGTGTGCGAC